AAAAAAAAAAAAAAAAAAAAAAAAAAAAAAAAAAAAAAAAAAAAAAAAAAAAAAAAAAAAAAGTAAAAAAGATGGAAGGTTTTCTTTTCCTTAACCATTGCAAACGTATCCCTCAGCAAAGAGAAAGTAATTCAAAAGTTGTGGTCAAAAACCTTTTATTGCCAACAACACTACTTTATCAAAAGGACGTTGTCTTGAGTGCAAGAAAAACACACTGCACTTCGGCATGTTTTTGGCCAAAATTGTGATGAAAAAGACACTCAGACCCGTTTCTCCTTGATGGGACTCGTGTCTAAACGATACAAAGTTTTATATATAATCAACAGATTGTGTGCAAACAAAGATCTAAAATAAAAAACCATTGGGCACTAAGAACTCCCATTCAACATCAAATAAACCTGTAATCAAAGCAGGCAGTTCTGTATTTCAAAAGAGGAAGAAACGTGCTTTTCACAAAGTGGGGTATTCAAAGCTTATCCTCTACCGTTCGAATAACTCTGGTGCGAAAACGAGATAGATGATGTTACTAACAAAAAGCCCATGCAGGAAATGGTAATAACGTAAAAAGTGTACCACAGACAATGCTTCAATCTCATAAAGAAAGAAAGAGAAAACTTTGAAGCAAACCAATAGGCTATCTTGTAGTGAAATCTAATCGCTTTATATACCAACAAGTAATGCATTGGGAAGGAGAAGGAGAAGGAGAAGGAAAAGAAAAGGCCTAACAGATATTCTAGTTAGAAATATGTCATAGATATTTATTCCACTTGATTACCAAATAATCTATTTTCATATTTCAATCTTTAATTCATATCTGCAGCTATTGTTAAAAATCAGATATAAGTTCATGCATAAACACAGTTTCTTGGGAATAGCTCATTGATATAGCTACAATCCAAAGGTGCTAATTTTAATCATGGTTGATAAGTTTATTCCCAATTATCTAGAAAGAACAAGACCCTTAAGAGGAAGCTCAACCGATATAAGGTTGGGATGTTTAAGGATACCCTTCAAGACTTGGAAAGCTTAATATTTTAGTCCTTCCGGTCACTCAGAGCTGGTCTTAGTATGAGAAAAAGCTACTAAAGCATTAGTGAGAGTGGGGTTAGACATGACCATGCAAGAGTAGGACTCCAACACCTTGATCAATCATTTAGTGTCGAATAAGTTGTTGGACTTTCTATTCTATGTTTGTTTTGTATGTCATTGACTTATTCGATATTTTTTAAGTTTAGGGTCCTATTAGGCATAATTCAATTAGATCTGAACATTTATGGTGTATAATTTAACAAAAAGAAAACTTTATAAGTTTTCCCTAAACCGGAATTCTGGTAGAAGTTTATTTCTTGGCAATCTTGGGCTGAGAAAACTCGAAACTTAGTTCACACCTGTGAAGGACAGAAAAATTCTTGAAAGAGTAAATCTGCACCCAGATTCAACTGTGTGCATTGATTTAGGTGAATGATATTTGTTGCAAACACAATCATTCTCAAAATTGAATAAAATAAAATAAATTAGTCTTAAAAAGAAAAATTCAATTCGTTCTTATTCCACTTTGTTGCGAAAAAATGCTTCGGGGAAAGAATTTTTTATTATATATGTGTGTGTGTGTTTGTGTATAAAGCACACACAGAATGCACAGAGCACTAAACAAAGTTTATTTTTTATGAAAGCTCGGTTTCTTACCATAATATTAAACAAATCAACTTCTAAGCAATATTTGATTTGAATTGGTGCATACATTAATTCTAGCAAGTGGGTGCTTTATCCACTATGGGGCCAGCCCATTTGCTACATAGCAAGGAGAGTGATTCGGCATGAGATCAATCACTCCATGACAGAAAGATAAATGAATAATCGAAAGCACTATCAAATTAAGCATTAGCTTCTTAATCTCATTATTCTTTTCCCTTAAACATGCATTTATGAAGTGGGTTTACAATTATAATCATGTTCTTATACCTAATAGATTCCCATGAGCTTGAAAGTCTTCAGAAAAAAGAGGTGTCATGCTTTATGCATTTTACTTCCTATAAAAGCAGAACCAATATGAGGCATTAAAGAATTGTACCAACACACCTGTTCTCTCGCAGCTTCAGCATCCTTTTGAAGAAGGATGAATATCCAAGTTAGCCGATGGTGTGCCTCAGCCAAACCTTTCCTGTCTGTGGTGTTCTTGCAGTTTGGGCTTGCAGGAATGGACATTCTGTCAAAAGCAGCTCTCAACCAAGGAATGAGCAACTATGTTCTTGTTGTTTATCGCCATGCAGTTGCCACAATTGTTATAGCTCCTTTTGCATTGATTTTTGACAAGTACTTCCCCTCTCTTCCACTCAGATTCCTTCATTGACATTTTATCAAACAGTTTACATGCATGCATGAAGTGACCCTTAATATTTGAGGTTTTTCTTTTCACAGGAAGGTCAGACCAAAGATGACAATTCCAGTCTTTGCCAAGCTAATAGTCCTCAGCTTGCTAGAGTACTACCCCCAACACTTTTGCCAAAATGGTCTATTTCTCCTTGAAAATCTCTCCAAGAACAATACATTTTTTACATCTTCCCCTTTTTGGCAGGCCTGTGATTGATCAGAACTTATATTTCTTGGGTATGAAGTACACAACAGCAACTTTTGCAGCTGCCATGTGCAATATTCTTCCAGCCATAACCTTTGTAATGGCTTGGATCCTCAGGTAGTCAATAAACACATCCATTTTTGGTTCCCTCTCTAAAACATGAAATCAAGTTCCTAAAAATCAACCACATACTTTTACAGGCTTGAGAAGGTTAAAATCAAAAGCATCAGAAGCCAAGCGAAGATAGTGGGAACCATAGCAACAGTAGGAGGAGCCATGATAATGACACTGATTAAGGGCCCAATTTTAGAGCTATTTTGGGTAAACGAAAAAGCAGATCATCAACAACAACAAAGGGGTGATATCAGCCTTCAACACACAATCAAAGGCTCAATTATGATCACAATTGGCTGTTTCAGCTGGGCCTGCTTCATGATTCTTCAGGTGCCCTTTCCAAATTCATAAATCCCCTTTTCCAAAATCACACGAAACTTTTTATGACATATTATTCCAATCACGCAGCTTAATAGCATGTGACGATTAACAAAAAGAACAGCGCTAAAATCGACCTTTTTCTACCGCTTTCGAGGAAAAGAAAAATTCATGATTCTTCATCAATAAAACAAAACCAAAAACATCGATCAATGATTTGAGATTTCTACAGGCAATCACTTTGAAAGCTTACCCCGCTGAGCTTTCTCTCACGGCTTGGATCTGCCTGTTGGGCACCGCGGAGGGCACTGTGTTGGCGCTGGTGATGGAAAGAGGAAATGCCGCCGTTTGGAGCATTACTTGGGGAACTAAACTGCTCGCCGCTGTTTATAGTGTACGAAACTAAGCTCAAATATTATTATTTTTCATTTTAATTAATTTCATTTTTTAAAAAAAAAAATTTGGAATTTTGTAGGGAATATTCTGTTCAGGACTTGCTTATTACATTCAAGGAATAGTGATGAAAGACAAAGGACCTGTCTTTGTGACTGCCTTTAGCCCATTGAGTATGGTCATTGTTGCCATTATGAGTTCGTTCATTCTCGGCGAGCGTCTTTACTTCGGAAGGTAATTTCGATCATTCATTTACGATTACGTTAAAGATTTTATGTTATTAGGTTAAAATAATCCGACGTCGTTACCAATATTTGCTCTCAAGAGTGAATTTAGATGTTGGGTTTAATCTACGAACCCGAAATATCATTTTAGAGATCTAAATTGAAAAGGGTTCATACTAAGTTGAAATTATAGATTCACGTATAGTTAAGTTAAAGATAAAGATGTTCAAAAAACTCGGTGAGTTGTAGAATTAAATCAACCTAATCCAACCTGTATGACTAGGGTTAGGCTAAGTTGGTTCGTGGGTTCCTAAAATTAGTTTGTGATGAACTGAAGAACCCGTGCTTGAAATTAAAAAAATAAATGTGAGATCCCACTTCGAGAGACGAATAAAACGTTCCTTATTCCTTATAAAGGCGTGGAAACTTCGCGTTTTAAAAATCTTGTGGGAAAGTCCATAAGAGAAAGCTTAAAGAAGACAATATCTGCTAGCGGTGGACTTGGGCTATTACAACAAATGACCTAACCATCTAAACCAGCCCGACCCAATATATTAGAGTGGATTTGGGTTAAGTTCATTCTTTAATAAGAGTTGTTTAGATTGAAAAATTTTAAAAGTCGAACAATTGGGTTAGGTCTAAAAAAACCATTAATGACCTAAAATAGGGATTACTTTAGGAATGGCTCGGTTGATATGACGTTAAATTAACCCAAAATTGTATAATTTTTGTAGGGTACTTGGAGCTGGTGTGATAATTGTAGGGCTATACCTTGTGGTTTGGGGCAAAAACAAAGATGGAAATGGCTCAAGTGAAGACCTCAAATTGCCCACCAAACAAACCCAAGAAATTGAAGCATAAATAAGCTCATGAACTATTTCCCATCCCAATCACTTATTGTTTCAATTTTTTTTTTTTTTTTTTTGGTGGGTCGCTAAGAAGGTTGTAGTTTATGGAAAGATGACGATGAATGTTGTTGAAGGGAAGATCGATAATTAAATGATTGAGATAAACACAAACCCGTGTGGAATAACTCGTTCAATATGGAGTGCTTACGTGTTTGATTTAAAGGGTTGGAACAGATACCGTGTTATGAAATGACGTGATTGTCTAGTCATATGTCTAGGATTCAAAATCCGAATCGGACCCACGATGGCCTTGACAACTCTCTCCTCGCTCTCTCTTTTTCGACGCTTCCTCCGACGACCCTTCCATTGTAGGTATTCAGAAATTTTTATCTGAGTTGAAAATTTGTTTAGATCTGGAGTAGAGCTATGGGATATCAACTTTTTTTCAACGGTGTCCATTGACAAAGAAGAAAGAGATATCAAGGGAAAGGATGAAAACCGAGCGAGATCGAGAGGGAAATATGGATCGGAAGCAAAAACGAGAAGAAACCCTAATTTTCTTTGGAAAGAATTTAAAATAATCTAGGAGTAATTATTATAAATAAATAAAAAATCAAACAATTTAGAAACATTAAGAACTTAGAATCAAAGAACAAGATCAACTCTTGGAGCCATTTGTCCAAATAGGAGCTTCAAGTCATTCTCCAATGGCGTCAAATTAAGATCCAAGCACTTAACTCCCATACTCCCGGACCTGTTCAGCACCGGAATCTTCTCCACGGCCGGCACCACCGAAAACCCACCTCCGTTCGTCGTCGTCATCCGGTGCCGCCGCATGTGCCCGCCGAGAGCCTGCCCGGTAGAGAACACCTGCCCGCACAGCCCACACTCGTGCATTTTCTTTGATTCCGCCGCATCCTTCGGTTCGTCAGCCGCCGTTCGTGGGCGTTTGTGGCTGGCACGGTGGCCGCCGAGAGCCTGAAACGAAGAGAAGAGCCGGTTGCAGGTTTTGCACTGGAAAACGGCGGCGTTTTGTCCGGGAATTTTGGAGTTGGATGTCTGAGAAAGAAGCATTAAAGATTTGGCGATGTCGGAGGCTTCAAATTCTTGTCGGATTCTCTTAGCCGCCATGTGAATAAGAGCTTAAAAGAATGAAGATTTTTAGAGCTCTGTTTTGAATTGGGAACTTGAAAATGGCGAATTTAAGATTTAATTCTTGTAAATTGATGCAAGTATTTAAAGGGTGAAATTCTGAGCTGGGTTTGGTTTGGTTTGACTAAAGAAAAGTCAAAGCTGTTCATGTTTTTTGTTTTTTTTATTTTATTATTATTTTGGCTGCTGGAATTTGCTTGGAAAAGGTGGACTGTGTCCTATATGATCATTGATTGAAAAAGGACACTATTTTTAAAAAATTATTTGCTATTTTTTTATTTAAATTTAAGATTTTAAATACTATTTCCACCTTCATTTTCTAAATAAAAAATGGCACATTTTTATGATTTAAAGATTTATATAGGTTTATGAGTAGTGGGTCAAATCTAATATTGACGGACATGGTAGTTGGAGTCGGCGGCTCTCTTAGGGTTCCCTCCTCTAGGATCCCGGGGAAAAAGGATCAAGTTGATCCGTGTGAATCGCTTGATGTACTATCTCTGTTCAACCCTTTGAGGGAAATGCACTCCCACTTGACATCTATCATGATGATAAACGGCCCAGCTTGTCGTGACCTTCTCCTTGAACTCTCAAAACTTATGTCGCTCCATCTCCGCAGGGCAAAGAACTCATAGTTGTCTTGATAGTGCTATCGGGGGGTCTGGAAAAGTTAGAATAGGAGAGCACTCGTCTTGGAGTGGGCTTACTGGGATTACAACCCGTTGTCCCGACCATTGTAGCACGTGTGTTGCTCGAGGCATAAGGGGCATGAGGACTCTATGTGATCCTCACCTCCCTCTGACTTTTCACCGACAGTCTGCTCAGGGTTCCAACCTCAACGGTTGACCTTAAATGGAAATTAGACTCTTGACTAAAATTGTTTTGAAAAGAGCTATTGGTTGTTTTTTTTTTTAAAAAAAAAAAACAATCCTTATCCAATAATTTAAAAAGATGACGTAATATGAATGAATGTGTGTAGAAATGAGTGAGTCAGTTATGGCGAGCTGAAAATGGCAAACGGTTTAGTACAATCCATTTGACTTTCTGAATTTTCCTCAATTTGTTTAATTTTTTAATTTTTTAAAGATTAATTATTCTAAGTGAATGAGTTTCAGAAGACACTGCCAAATGATATGTTGGAATATATAAAATAATCAGAATTTTAATTCACACGTGAAGTATGATAAATATGTGATTATTTTTTATTTTAATAAAACCCCATCAATTATCTTATTTTTATTTTAATGAAGAAGGTGGAACCACCTTCTCAAGTGGGGTGATCTTTCAAAGCATGTGTTTATGTAAGAATCAACATTCAAATTTGTTGCCACAATTTCTTTGTACTTTACCAAATCATCATTTGCAAATCTTAGTAATCTAAAATTTTAATATTCATATTAACGTATACAATTTACCGAAACCGAGACGACTAATCCCAACTTACAACAGAGGAGTACTCGATCATTTTCATGCTATGAGAAAACCACATACTATACTGTAGGGAAAAAATAATTATCTGTCATGTCCGACATTGGTTGGGGAGGAGAACAAAAGACCCTTTATAAGGGTGTAGAAATGTTCCCTAACAGACGCGTTTTAAAGTCTTGAAGAGAAACTCGACAGGGAAAGCCTAAAGAGGACAATATCTGCTAGCAGTAGATCTGAGTCGTTACAAATGGTATTATAGCTAGACGTCAGACAATGTGCCAGCCTTCTCGCTGCTTCCCAAAGGGGGTAGACACGAGACAGTGTGCCAGTAAAGACTGGGCCCCAAAGGAGGGTGAATTTGGTGGGAGTCCCACATCAATTGGAGAAAAAAACAAGTGCCTGCGAGGACGCTGGCCCCCAAAGATGGGTAGATTGTGATGTCCAACATTAGTTGAAGAGGAGAAGAAAAGACCTTTTATAAGAGTGTGGAAACCTTCTCCAGACTCGTTTTAAAGCCTTAAGAGAAAGTCCAAGAAGGAAAGTCTAAAGAGAACAATATCTGCTAGCGATGGATCTGGGTCGTTACATTATCCTTCCAAAACTGGATGAAATTAAAAGCTTAAAGATAGAAATCTATACCATTTGATTTTCATATGCTTTGAATGAACTGTAAAATTATTAATGAGTTTACGAAATAGATGCTATTGAAAGCAGGTCAAAATGTAGTCTCAAGACGGCCCAGAACTGAAGCACCTGAGAAGGTTCAATCACTTTTAATCACTTTTGGGCTTTTGAATGTGGGTGGTGGCTAATTGTTCAAGCATTGACTTGCATAAAGCTAGCTGATCAAACATGGGAAGCATCCAAGAAACATATCAAAAATATTATATATTCGTCTCAGCTGAGGAATGAGTTGATCCATCTTTGAAAAACACAATCAGTCTAAAGCGATACACAGATACAATACAACTATTTGTGAGGGAAGATTCGACGCTATAAAATATATGTTTTAACTAATTACGTTAAGACGAAAGTAAAAATAGCTCAACGGTAATTGTCATACCCTCAACTAAGAGGCCAAACCAGTTTCGAATCTTCCCATGCTCAATATAATCAACATAATAATTGAATAGTCAATATGAACATAGTTTGTTACGTTATTGACATATTCTGAAATCATTTGCATTCGAACACGAGCAAATAGTAGACTAGGAATATGTTAAATTCAAAGAGACTAATCAAACAATATAGCTTTCAATCAAGTTAGAAGAGCCTAATTTCATTAATCTTCCCTCTCCACCTAACAATCGGCTAGAATTCATAATGAACAGATAATGTGTGCATACTTTGGTTGAATGGTACCTATCGATCATCGCAAGAGATGAGCTGAAGGAGCCAAAATTTGACGATTGCTTTGTGCTCATACTTTGTGGCGGTGATAGGCATCAAGAACCAGCAAACGTTGATTTTTACTGTAGGGGAACCGATCCATAGAACGCTACTTCCGCTGGTCCAGTCATGTATACGTGGTTGTTTTGCTCATTCCACTCTATCTGTAATGGTCCTCCAGGTAGATCAACGGTGCAATTCTGCGTCGAGATATTTGAATCCAACATTAGGAAATTTAAAGGGACGATAGGATTGAAATTTGATGACCTTTTGTTTTTTCTGTCTATATAACCAAGGTGTGATGTGAGATTCCACGTTGGTTGGAGAGGGGAACAAAAAACATTTTTTACAAGGGTGTGGAAACCTCTCCCTAGCTAATGCATTTTAGAGCCTTGACGGGAAGCCTGAAAGGGAAAACCCAAAAAAGACAATATTTGACTAGCGGTGGGCTTGGGATATTACAAATGGTATCAGAGCCAGACACCAGGGGATGTGCTAACAAGGAGGCTGAATCCTGAAGGGGGGTGGACACCAGGCAGTGTGCCAGCAAGGATGCCGGGCCTCGAAGATGGTGGATTAGAGGGTCCCATATCGATTGGAGATGGAAACGAGTGTTAGCGAGGACGCTGGGCCCCGAAGGAGATGTATTGTGAGATCCCACATTGGTTGGAGAGGGGAACAAAACACTCTTTATAAGGGTGTCGAAACCTCTCTCTAGCAGACGCGTTTTAAAGCCTCGAGGGGAAGTCCGGAAGAGAAAACCCAAAAATGACAATATCTGCTAGTGGTGGGTTTGGACTATTACATGTGAGGTTTTTTTTTATGAAACTATATTATATTATCGCTGTTGTATTTGAAAACTAAATATGGTCTGCTTACCCGCCCAGCACGACCCTCAAGAACTGCTGCAACAACGACTGCACAGGCTCCAGTTCCACAAGCAAGTGTCGCGCCTGTAGTGTCACAGAGAAGTATAGCCAGCAGGTTTTGTTATGAAGTGAGATTCACCATTTATATGCTTACAACTTTAATTTGTCTTAAATTATGTTGAATCCGAACCTGCCCCACGCTCCCAAACACGCATTTTAAGGTGTGATTTGGAGAAGACTTGCACAAATTCTGTCGTGGACATGAAGAAAAGCAGTATGAGCAGTGTAAAAAGTGCATCTCAGTGAACATAAAAGTGCATAGAAAGGGAAGGGAAGACCGTTTAAATGGTCAGAAAAAAAAGAAACACATTTGCTTATATCTCAACCAGAAAAAGCTGAAAATCCAAACTTGTCAAGAAACCAACCTGTATTTGTTCGTGCTGGAAACATCTCATGATGCTCAAACTTTGGACCAATTGCAGCTAAATTTATTTCATCCACCTGCAGATTCTGTTCATGACCATGCTAGAATAAGCCCAAATAGTAAATGAACGGTAAAGTTGTACCCAACAAAACGACTATACTCAAGTCTACAAAGTTGCATTACCCTCAGAACATAGTTTAAACTGCTGTAAGCAATTTTAGGTCAAAGGAAGAAAGAAAAAGATTTAAATGTCGAAGAAGCTTAGCCATCACGAGAGTTTTCCTCATGGCTTAGTATTGCTTCTTCATTTAATTGTATTCCTTGATTCATAAACGCTCTAACTGTTAACATTACAATGGAAGACATCTCAATCAATCAACTACATTATGATAAATGAAATTTACGTACTCATGGATCCTGCAAAATACTCAAAGAAATTCTTACTTAATGAATTTAATCTTTAGTGTAGCCTATCATATATAATCTACTACACTTTTAGGAACCACAAATCTCCACAATAGTATGATATTTTCCACTTTGAGCATAAACTCTCATGGCTTTGCTTTTGGTTTTTCTAAAAGGCCTGGAGATATATTCCTTACTTATAAACTCATGCTCAACCCCTCAATTAGCAGATATGAGACTCATCTCCCAACAATCTTCAACATACACCACGTGCACGAGATATAACTTGCTAGGTGATTACATTTAAGTAAGAGAATAGAAAAACAAAAATGGGCAAGTCATAGTAATCCACCTTGGAAACTTCAAGAAACTTTAGACTATTGAATGGAATGTCGCAAAATGTACTTCCATATAAATACCTGGTCAATTTTGTTGCCAAAAGTTACGCAATGGGGGTTTCCCATACTGACACAGGTCACACTCCATGTTACTCCATCTACTTCTATGTCTGACTTTACAACAGATTCATCTGCATTTGGTGCCAATCGAGTAGGCACATCTGATGCTTTAAGAATTGGTTCACCCATGTCTACTTTTACCTGAATTTACATGCCGTTAAGATTGACACTGAACCGAAAAAAACTTAGACCACATTTGCCAAAAAAGAAAAAAAGAGCACTGAATCGTAAAAGCACAGATGCATTTCGCAATGAAAAAAATGGTGAAGATGCGCCTAACCTTCTAAATTAAAACAGAAGTTGATTGTAGATTAGAACATTTTTCATCAAACAAGTTAAATAAACTATTCTTAAGCCAGATTAACATACCCGAAGGAAATGAACATAATCAAACTATACCTGTCCATCATCCTGAAGTTCTGGAATAATAAGACCAGCTCCAGTATGAACAGTGAAACTGCGAGAGTATGAACAGAAAACTGTGATCTCCATCAGAAATTCTAATACGTACATAAACATGAATATAAAATCTAAGCTATCATAATTTAATTAGTTGTATATCAACTTCAAAAGAAAATAGGTTTCAAAGCCCCGAATCAGGAATATAAGGCAAATGTTCATCTTTGAAATATTAATGCCGGAAACGTGTCTTGAAAGGACAATCCAATGTTGTAATTCAGCAAGATAAAACAATAGCAAAACCATACCTATGCCTTCCCTGTAAATTCTCGAGCTCCGCAATAAATCTGGCAAAGCATCTTACTCCATTACCACACATCTATATGATATAGCGGGAAAAAAACTCAGACTCAGACGTAATTGATAGGAATACAACAGTAACAGACAATTATTTCTGAAAAACGCAGCTACCTCCGGTTCACTACCGTCGGAATTGAATATCCTCATGGTATAATCAGTACCATTAACGCCTGGCATAGCAAAAATAACTCCGTCAGCACCGATCCCAAAGTTCCGATCACATAACTTCACAGCTTGCTCCGGAGTGATCCTAGGCTTTGAGGAGTCCCTATTATCAACCTATTCAAGCTCACTTCCAATCAATATCAGATTAAGAACCAAATGCAGATTCATTAGCCGAGAGTGAATTCAACTATTTCCAATCGAACAAATTTGCCAATTAGTTTCTTATTAAAATTCCATATCGTTTTCCATGATTAGCATCACTTGGAGGCAGATACCAAGTTCCGATTTCCGATTTCCAACAGATAAAATGGATAACAACATGCATCTACTGCCAATTTCAGGATAAAAACAAAAAAAGCATGTCTAACAGTGAACTCAGAGAATCATTACCAAGATGAAGTCATTGCCGAGACCGTGGTACTTAACAAAGTGAAGGAAGCCACTCTCTCTCCGTTCCAGAAAAGACAACGACGACGCTTTCTCTGTAACATGAAGGCCAGCGGAAGTCACGGATACAGAGAGCCTTGGGCTTCTTCTCCGAGCAGAATTCTTTCCTATGGAATCCAGTTGAAGAAGGGAGCAAAAAGACGATCGGAGAGAAGGAATTGAGGCGAGAGAGCGTGGAGATGGAGAGGTAAGTGGAAGAGAAATGGAGGCGGGCATGGCCATGGCTGTAAAGCCGAAGCAAAGCAACAGACAAACCGGAGTGTTGTGGCTGTAGTGGATGTGCAAGGGGGAAACGTAGGCGTCGTTGATAATTCCCATTGGGCCGTACAAAATGGATAGGCCCAACTTTTAATAGACTCGATTTGGGCTATAATTGTCAGCCCAACTATTGGCAGCCTGCTAAACCGTTGGTGGTTGAGTTTTGATACAATTACTCTTAGTTTATGGAATAAGATGAAAGTCTATTGATACTCCTCTATTAGTACGAGACATTTCAAGAAGTCTAAAGTAAAATCACGAGAGTTTATACTCAAAGTGAACAATATCATACTACCATTATGGAGAGTCGTGTTCGTCTAACATAAGATAAAGTGAGAAGCTTGACGACTCTAAAATTTGAAGGTAAAATCATTCTAATTACTAATTAATAAATTTTAAGTAATAAGAATTCGTGTTCAATTAATTAAGTAAATACTATATATTAAATGATTATTGATTTGTTAAATTAAATTATTAAGTATACTTAAAATCAGTATAAATTAATCTCAAATGTTTACGAGTCATAACATATTATTAGCCTTGTAACCACGTTAGATTATATGCATCATTAATTTTCTTAATATTTATAATAATTTTAAACAATTATCTTTTAAATTACAAAATTCGAACCGTACATATTATAAAAACACGAGGAGAAAAATAATGGTAGAAAATTGCCAATGAAATCCAACGACTTTGAATTATGTGCCTCATATTTTGTGGGGGACTTTTTAAAAATTTTAAATTTAATAAATTATTACGTCAATAAAGACAATGACAAACGAAAAGTGTAGAGGTTTGTGGGTCTAACATTTATATTTACAATCTATTTTTAAAATCTAAATATTTATCAAATTAGGTTCCGGTTTCATATTCCTTTGATTTTTAAAAAATGGAATATTATAAATTAGATTTTTTAAATTAGATAAAGGATGATAATTTTAATTTTTTTTTTATTTTACTAAAAATTATATTATATATATATATATATATATAATTAATTAATTAAAAAAAGAAGTAAAACTAAAATTATAATATTTTTTTATACGATAATGATATATATATATATATATATATATATATATATATATATATATATATTTTAGAATATGAATCAAGTGGGGATCCGTGATCCCACATGAAAAGAACGGCGGAGGATCGTCGGATTGGACTGTTGGCAGAGCTGGCAGTTTGAACGGCACCGCAAAATCCACGGTGAGGACAATCGGGGTCGGCTCGAAAGTGGGGCCTAAACCCCTAAAGGGCTTTGTGGGACCCGATCCGGACCAATCCGGCCCCACATGTCACGTGGACGTTGAACAAGGACACGTAAGCGACAAACGCAATGTAAGATTCTGGTTCCCACCAATCTCTTCTAATCCTCTCCCCACCAATCCTCACCAATCCTCACCCTCCTCCCACGTGGGCAGTGGTCCCCCACCTGGGCAACTCAATCAAATCGTCTTTTTTTTTTTAAGGTTAAAATGTAATTTTGTTCACATATTTTTATTTTATTTTGAGTACGTTGTTAAATTTTATAAATAAATAAAAAAGTTTATTTTATATATATATATATATATATATATATATTTTCTCATCTCCCAACATTTTCTCACACTTTTTCCTTTCACTTTCTCTCATTTTCTCTCCATCCAAACAGCCTCCATGGAAGACGACCCCTCAGCTTCATACATCCACATGGTAATCTTTTTTTATTTTCATTTATTTTTTTCTCAATTATTTCATTAAATTTGTGATGAGGGTCTATGATTGTTACGGTGTAGGTGCACCACCTGATCGAAATAAGCATTCTTTTCAACATGTCCAAGGAAGAGTGCATGGAAGCTCTCTCCAAACATGCAAATATCGAACCGGTCGTCACTTCCACCGGTTCGTTCACGTGACATGCACGGACTTCAACTCTTTTAATTTTTAATTTTTAATTTTTAATTTTTTATTTTTTGAGGATTTTGTAAAATGTTGTGCAGTGTGGAATGAACTGGAGAAGGAGAACAAGGAGTTCTTCGAAGCGTATGAGAAGAAACGACGTGATGTTACGACGAGGAAGTTGGAAGGGAACTCTTCGTCCGACACGTCGGCTTTCAACTTGCTGGGTTTGGGCGATACGACGCCATTGGGTCGCTAGGTGACTAGACAGGGCGGCGGAGTAGTGTCGACGTACGACGTCGTTCTTATGGGATCGTAGGCAGATGGAACAGCGCGAGTGGCGACTTAGACGGGGGTGAAGATATTTTAAGATACTAATATTTTGGCTGGTTGGCTGACACGTGGCCTGGTTCTGCAACCTTTTAAGAATGTATTGGTGTCGCTTGCTGATTGGGAGTCCATGAGAGGTGACACGTGGCAGTTTATAATTTAATAAGTCGAATTTTTTTTTTTTTTTTTTTCTTCAAGCCAATTAATAATTGATATTGTCAACCGCCTTAGTTTGTTACATGTTGTCATTACCATCATGGTTTTAAAACACATATGTTAAAGATAAGTTTTTATGAGGAATGCTTCGTTCCCCCTCTTCAACTGATATAAGATCTCTCAATCTACCTCCCTAGGAGCCCAGGTACTAGTTGGCATGCTGCTTGGTCTAGCTCTGATGCCAACCGTAACCAAATACAAAAAATAAATTGACTTTGAAAATATATGTTGATAAAAAAAAACCAATAAATAGAATTAGTTAAAGGTTGGTTAGAATTTGCTTATTTTGGCAAATCTCTTATGAAAAATTGGTATGGGCTTAAAGCCCAAATAGGGATGGATTATAATTTGGGCCTTTTTGCAAAAAGAACTAAGCCTTCCAAACCTCCGGGCTCGAGATTGACCTGAAAATCGCCGGTTCTTCACACAGCAACGCACAGAGGTTACGGCCATGGAGGGTCTTGCTACATTTCACCACCGTCCTCTTCCTTCTCAACAACATCTATCCTTCAGCCGCCGTCTTCCGTCGTTCTCCTATCCCTCTTCTTCTCTCTTCTTCCTGTCTCCTCCGCCGTCTCGGCTTCGTTCTCCTTTGTCTTTCAGGTCATTGTCTGTTAAAGCCTCGTCGTCTCCGTCGACCTCCGACGAAACCTCTCGAAACGCCAAGCCTTCAATTTCAGAGACTACGAATGACGGTCTTCTCTCTGGATTTCTCAGAACCGCTTGCATCTCCGTCGCCGCTGCTGCATTCTTCTTCCTTCGCTTCGACCATCGGCGCGCTGTTGTCGTTGCTGCTCCCGTTGCGCCGGAAATGACGGAGTCTATTGAAGAATCGAATCCATATGAGGAAAATGAGAGCGTTGTGGAAGAGCAACCGATGGATAATTCGAATGATGTTGAAGCTCTTCGATCCCTCGTTGAGGAGAATGTAAAATCAGGTAAATTGCCTGAAGCAATTGAAGCCCTAAACCGTTTGATTGAAATTGAGCCCAATGAACTTGAGTTGCCGTTGCTGAGAGCCAATTTCCATAGCTATATGGGGGAGCTCGAATTGGCGAAAAGTGAATTCGAGGAGATTTTAATGGAAGACCCATTACGTGTTGAGGCCTATCATGGCCTTGCACTGGTTTCGGAGCAATTGAATGACAATTCATTGAAGGGCGTTGCTAAAAGGATCGAACAGGCAATGGAGAAATGTAAGAAGCAGAATAAGAAATCAGATATCAGGGATTTCAAGCTCTTGATAGCACAAATTAAGGTAATGGAAGGGAGTTATTTTGATGCGTTGAAAGCTTATCAAGAACTTGTGAGGGAAGAGCCAAGGGATTTTAGGCCATATCTGTGTCAGGGGATCATATACTCTCTGTTAAGGAAGAATGAGGAGGCTGAGAAACAATTTGAGAAATTCAGGAGACTTGTTCCAAAGAATCATCCTTACAGAGAGTACTTTGATGAAAACGTGTTTGCAACGAAGCTTTTTGGTCAGAAATTAGAGAAGGAAGGAGCTGGTTTGAAGAGCTGAGATGAGTGCTGGTCTGCTGCTTCTGTATGAATCTTCTCCTCACTTTTCTCTGCTGTTATGAATAGATCCATTTTTGTTAGTTGTTTAGTGGTTTGGCATTCATTAAGGTGGTGTTTTATATCTAAAGTTCGTCTAAGTTTTATGATAATCTGAATTTTTCAGTCGAGTCTCCTGTGGGGAATACTGATTATACTTGTGTTCAGCATGCCTGAACGTCTCACTGAAACTGAGTTTCTTTCATTTCTTCATACAAAGATTCTTTCTATGAACATGCATCAAGATTGTTGAAGCTTTCTTTGACATATTAAAGAATCAGGGGATTAGTGCTCTAATAGTTAAAAGGGATCATTTGTAAGATGCCTTGTAGGGTATGGATTCTTAGAATTTTGGGGTGGGGTAGGAGATTAGTAAATCAGTATGTAGTAGTTAAAGGGATAAGTTGTAATCTAAGATGGCTTATGCTCAAATTTTGATGCCATTTGCCCTCAGTCAGCCCTTGGGATGTTTGAGGGAGTTCTCTAAGTTCTTGGATTCAAATTACTCTGGTGGTCTTATGGGCGAATATGTGCATAGCTTAATAGTCAAGACATCAACTGTGAGATCTCACAGCGGTTGAGGAGGAGAACGAAACATTCTTTATAAGGGTGTGGAAACCTCTCCCTAGTAGACATGTTTTCAAAACCTTGAGGGAAAGCCCGAAAGGGAAAACCCAACGAGGACAATATCTGTTAGAGGTGGGCTTGAGTTGTTACTAATGGTATCAGAGGCAGACACTGGGCAATGTGCTAGACTGAGCCCTGAAGGAGGTGGACACGAGGCAGTATGCCAACAAGGATGCTAGGCTCTAAAGGGGGGTGGATTGGGTGGTCCACATCGATCAGAGAATGGAATGAGTGCCAGCGAGGACACGTGGCCTCAAAAGGGGGTGGATTGGGTGGTCCACATCAATCAGAGAAGGGAATGAGTGCCAACGAGGACACATGGCCTCGAAAGAGGGTGGATTGTAAGATCCCACATCGGTTGGGGAGGAAAACAAAGTATTCTTTATAAGGGTGTGGAAACCTATCCCTAGGAGACGCATTTTAAGAATCTCGAGGGAAAGTCCAAAAGAGAAAATCCAAAGAGACAATATCTACTGACGGTGAGCTTGGACCATTACATCAACTCCTCCTACTTAGGTTGAAGGTTTGAAGGTTCGAATCCTCACTCAAATTAGTTGTACTACAAAAATTGAAAATCTCTAATTTCTCTTGGAGCTGGAATTAGGCTTGTGAATGGTCTCCCTGCAGAGTAGTGGGCTAGTGCTTGATTACCATAGATGTCGTTTTTTTATGGTAATCAAGCACTCACCACTGCTCTTTTAACCACATAAGTTGGTCTAGTGAATAGGTCAAAGAGAGCAAGTTGTAAATCCAAATGTCTCAAGATTATGAATTCAAATTGCGATGACGTTCTAGTCATGATAATAAGTATATCTTACCAGTTTTTAGTTTCCAAGTACCATAGTGGGTCTATCTGTTGTTGACTATCCATTAGAATTAGTTGTGATATACTGAAGTTAGCATATAAGTGACCACCATATATCGACTTTTTAGAGAATGATCATGGGTTTATAATCAAGGAATACTATCTCCATTGGTCCGAGGCCTTTTGGGGAAGCCAAAAGCAAAGCCATGAGAGCTTATGCTCAAAGTGGACAATATCATACTATTGTGTAGAGTCGTGTTCATCTAACATATATGATAAAAAGACATTGTGATCTTTGAAATTTGATCGTTATTGGATTAGGTGATAGTTTTATCATTTATGGGATTAATTGAGGCTTTCGGTATGCTTATAGACATATACTTAGATATGATATCATATTGATCATATGAACTTTATAATTGTCGGGCAGTATAAACAATATAACCAAATAGTATGCTGCATTTATAAAAGAACAGTCCAGAAGTATTTATTTGGATGAAAAAAAGCCTGTTCTTAAAGATCCATTTTGTTGATAAATGCTTTAAAGTATGTATTCATTGCATTTGTGTTTGCTTTATATCATGCGTGGCTCACTGGAGGAACCTTCATAACTATGCCTTAGTTTTGGATTTTAAGGTCTAACACCCAGTCCAATTCTTTACCCTTGACTAGAGTCGAGCTATGTTCAAGTAAGCATCACGAATGCTCTTGAGATGATTAAGTTTGATATAAAGTTAGAACTATGAAGTGTAAATGTAACAGTTCAATCCCACCACATACAGATATTGTCCGCTTTAGCCTGTTACCTACTGTCGTCAGTCTCATGGTTTTAAAATGTATCTATTAGAAAGATGTTCCCACGCCCTTATAAAGAATGGTTCGTTCCTCTCTCCAACCGACGTGAGATCTCACAATCCACCCCGTTTAGGGGTCCAGCATCCTTGCTGGCACACCGTCTAGTATCTAACTTTAATACCATTCGTAACAGTCCATGCCTACCACTAGCAAATATTGTCCATTTTGGCTCGTTACACATCACCGTCAGTCTCAAGATTATAAGAAATGGTTCGTTTCCCTCTCCAACCGATTGGAGTGAACAAAGCTTATAGCTATGAACTCTACTGGTCAAGATGAGTTCGTTAAAGTACTTTCATGGGTTTAACTCTTAATCTTCTTTGTTACAAAGAAGAAGATAGGATTAAGAAATATGAAGATAATTTGTAGTCTGGTAGGGGGTTAGGTTTGGTAAGTTTCCATGAACAGGGAAGGTCCCATTCATCCTTTTAGATTTGGATTATAATTCTAGAAGCTTTTGGGACCCAATTAGATTATATTTGGCTGTGTTCTAAGGTCTTTAACTCTAGATTCCCTCCTACTAATACTTCTCTAGGAACTAGGTGACCAAAAATAAAGTTGCCTAATACAATAATGAGAGGGCACATAAAAAAACACATCATTTTTGGATTTGACCCGTTTTAATCCAATCTTCCTTTTCTTTAATCGTTGTAACTTTTACAATTGATTCTAGTTACGTATAGATGTTAAATTACTTTTTAATTCGTCTTGATTTGAATTGAATTTGGGGTAAAAAGTTCACTTCTTATACGGGATTCAATGATCCAGCAGAGTAAAATAGTATTTTGTTTATTTTGATAGCGTCCTTCCACACCTGTGGTGAGTGGAGTGCCACAATCTCATTCATCATTTTCAATCTACATAACTCAAAATTTGAGACACGTAGAAATGAGTTAAATTATTTTAATATCATAGAAGTTAAAAATCTACCGAAAATGGAATTTTGTGCTTAGTGGGTCTCCTTTTGCTTATTCAACGTACCCCTTTGTCTGGGAAAGAATACAAATTTAGATAGGATTTTAGAATTTTATTTGGGGTCGAGCAAGGTACTCGACAACAAAGCAATAAGATGATCACAAACTATTAGAATTTTGTTGTTTATCATACACATCTCGATGACAGTAGAACTTTTAAAAGTACTAGACATGTAATCTAAGAATAACAATTATCTAAAGGTTGAAATTTCGAAGCTTCATGAGCTTTAATAAGAAGTTGAAAACGTGGATTATATATATATATAAATGAAATAGAAACTAAAATGGAAGAAATTAATAAAAATAAAATATATAAATGGACCTAATTAATTAAAAGAAACTAAAAAGTAAAATAATAATAATGTCATTAGATTGCTTATAAGAGAAGACATAATAGTTAATCAAGTTGATTAAAAATAATTTTTTTAATTAAGAGCCAGAACTTAATGTCGGCTCTCCGACTAAAAATTTAATGATGTTTGGAAAATTAGAGGCATTAAATAAATAATAAATTTCATTTTTTTTAATTGTGGTTTAATTTTGTAATAATAATTTCAAACCGAAAATTGAAAATGAAAAAAAAAATATCTACCATTCATTGAAAAAATACATTAATATTTAACACAAAAATTAATTTATATTCTTTACATTTTGGGAGTTGGATCAATTAAAAAGTGAACTAATAATTGTACCATTTAAATTTTCAACATTTATAATTGCATTTAAAATTGACGGTCTAATTTAATTCAAATTTTAATTGATACAATTATAAGTAACATATAAAACGTCCTAATAAATCTCCATCCTAAAATACGTTAATTCTCATTTGGCGGGGTCAAGGATTGGAACGGGAAACCCAAAATATAATCTCCATCCCCGTTCTTGTTTAGCTAATACAGTGAAATCTCTCTCTACTCTCTCTTTCATTCACGGTTCAGACACGAATTCTCTATCACATCTAAAAAATTGAAACTTATTTGTATATTAATTTTTTGTCGTAATATTTATATTCTTCTATAATAATTATTTTTTAATGGACATTTTAATGGTTTTTTTTTTCTTAAATATTATATAAATAATGTGTAAAATAGAACTTATTTGTATATTTAAAGATGGTGATAATTGAAAGGCAATAATAGATGAGTCAACTTAGGTCTTAAATTATAGAATTAAATTGGGACAACATGAAAATGAATGACATTAAATAATTATTTGTTTATGGAGATTGGTTGTTGCCTTTCATGCCTTTATGCAAAAGTAGAAAGTCGGTGTTCGTTGTTGTTATTCTATTGGTTAAAATATATATTGTCGATAAAAAAACGTTAAACGTTTGAATTTTCACTCTCGTAGATTGATGAAATTATATAATATTTTGGAGTAGCAATGAGAATATATGTAATAACCTAAGCTCACTGTTAGTAGATATCGTCTGCTTTAGCCTATTACGTATTGTTGTCAGCCTCAGATTTAAAACGAGTCTTATTTTAATAGCAAAAATAATAATAATAATAATAATAAACAAATAAAAATAATTATAAAAAAAATATACATATAAAAAATAATAATTCATAAATAAATAAATAACTAAAAAGGATTACTTAAAATTAAAAATAAAAATAAAATTTACCCACCTCTCTTTACTAACCTCTCATCCCAACGCCATCCTCCTTCCTCAACCCCACAATATCACCTTTGGTAAAAAAAAAATGTCAGAGAAAAAGTAAAATGATTTTGATTGTTCAACAGAAGCAGATATGATGAAGATTTACCTTCAGAGATTTTGGTATTACGGTACAATCTTATTTCAGATTTTCTTTTCTCTTTTGAGTTATGGTTATAAGAAATTAATTTAGGATCAAATCTTGTTCGATATTTTACCAATCCTGTCATAATCAGATCCCTTCTTCCATATTGCTTCTATATTTTACCAATACTGTCATAATCAGATCCCATGTTTTTTTTTTTTTTTTTTTTTTTTTTTTTTTTTTTTTTTTTTTTTTTTTTT